TTGAATGGTATAATGGCCACGTCTCTGTGAAATGGAATAAGCACAATGTTTAAAGGATTTAGCTCCAGATTTACTCCCTATCACCTCTTGATAAACTCACTGGTGCTCAGCAGAGACAAAGCTATTCTAGAATTTGCACTGCCTAAACACATGGAATCAGCAGATTCTTGGTCTCTAAAGAGAACAGGGGCATCTGGCTGGCTCAGTTGGTAGAGCATGTGACTCTCAAGGTCGTGAGTTCAAGCCCCACATTGGGCATGGAGCCTACTTTAAAAAAAATAAATAAATAAAGAGAACAGATATAAAACTCTTTAGTCTTTAATACTGAAACTAATTGAGTCTATTTCGCAAGTAGTTGTTTCAGGCAATCAACAAATATTTATTAACTGCCTAGGATACTCCTGAAGCCCTGTGGGAGAAACAAAGAACTATCAGATATAGTTGGAGAGATAATATATTCACACATTACATAATAACACAACACTTCTATCTCAAAAGAGTGCATGATTAATTGCCAAAGAACATCTATATAGAGAGTGGATGTTTCAGGATTTACTGTGAGTTAATGAGATGTGGAAAGGCTACATGGAGGAGGGAGGTGCCACCAAACTACGCCATGAAGGTTGGAGAGAAGCTATAAAGCTAGTTTCAGGGGGAAAGAATGCTGTAAGACAAGGCATAGGGGCAGGAAAGTCTGTGGTGTATTTAGCAACGACTCGGCATTTTCATAAGTTTGCTTGGGGCACCTGACTGGCTCAGTCAGTAGAGCATGAGACTCTTGATCTAGGAGTTGTGAGTTTGAGCTCCACGTCGAGTATAGAGATTACTTAAAAATAAAATCTTAAAAAAAAAATGTTGCTAGAGTGCAATGTTATGGAGATGGTTCAGTTGGGTTCAGTTGGGACTTAATGGTTCTGAACCTTATGCAACCCACTGCCATTTTTTAATAACAGGTAGTTTGTTTTGCTTCCTTTACCGCACAATACATAAAAAATTGATATAACAATCTGGCTATAAATGATAAATGAAAGGAGAATAATATTTAATAAAAAATACGTATTTGATTCTACTTACAAGAGGTGTCTAAGGTAGTCAAACTTTTATTTATTTATTTTTTTAAGATTTATTTATTTATTTATTTATTTGGCAGAGAGAGAGACAGCGAGAGAGGGAACACAAGCAGGGGGAGTGGAAGAGGGAGAAGCAGGCTTCCCGCCCAGCAGGGAGCCCGATGCGGGGCTCGATCCCAGGACCCCGGGATCATGACCCGAGCTGAAGGCAGACGCTTAATGACTGAGCCACCCAGGTGCCCCTAAGGTAGTCAAACTTTTAGACCCAGAAAGTAGAATGGTGGTTGTTGGAGGCTTGGGGGTAAACAGGAAGAGGAGTCATTCAATAGACCTAGAGTTTCAGGTTTAACTTGCTGAACCCCAGTTTAGCAAGATGCGAAGTTCTATAAATATGTTGCACAACAATGTGTATATACTTAACACGACTATAGTGTGCATTTAAAAATGGTTAAGATAGTGGGGTGTCTGGGTGGCATAGCTGGTTAAGCATCTGACTCCTGGTTTCGGCTCAGGAGCCCCCCGAGTCTGGCTCCACACTCAGCGAGGAGTCTGCTTGAGATTATCTCTCCCTCTCCCTCTGTCCCTCCCACTTGTGCTCTCTCTCTCTCTCTCTCTCTAAAATAAATAAGTAAATCGTAAAAAAAAAGTTAAGATAGTGAATTATGTGGGTTTTTTTACTATAATCAAAATATGAATTTAAATATGAAAATATGGCTAAGTGGATTTCTTTTCATGTAGTTTGCTTGGGATTCGTTGTCTAAACTATATCTGAAGGGGCGCCTGGGTGGCTCAGTGAGTTAGGCGTCTGCCTTCGGCTTGGGTCATGGTCCCAGGGTCCTGGGATCGAGCCCCGCATCGGGCTCCCTGCTCAGCAGGAGCCTGCCTATCCCTCTCCCTACCTCTCCCCCTGCTTGTGCTCTCTCTCTCTGTCAAATAAATAAATAAATCTTTATAAACAAACAAACACACACACAAACTGTATCTGAAGATTCACTCTTTATATTAGTTCTGGAAAAAATGCCAATTTCACATGCTCTGTATTTTTTTTTAAGATTTATTTATTTATTTATTTATTTATTTATTTGACAGAGACAGACACAGAGAGAGGGAACACAAGCAGGGGGAGTGGGAGAGGGAGAAGCAGGCTTCCCGCTGAGCAGGGAGCCCAGTGTGGGACTCGATCCCAGGACCCTGGGATCATGACCTGAGCCGAAGGCAGACGCTTAACGACTGAGCCACCCAGGTGCCCCGTATTCTTTTTTGACAGAACTCATATTAAATGTATATTAGACCATATCACCCTCAATGACTCTTTTTAAGATTTTATTTTTAGGTAATTTCTATACCCAACATAGGGCTCAAACTTAACAACCCCAAGATTGAGAGTAGCATGCCCCACCAACTGAGCCAGCCCGGTGTCCCAGGGGTTTTTATATTCAAAATCTTGTCATCTATGGTAGAGATCGTTTTTTGTTTCTTTGTGTGTGTGTTTTTTAAGATTTATTTATTTGAGAGAGAGTGTGCCTGGGGCTCAAGGGCAGAGGGAGAGGGAGAGACAGTCTTAAGCAGACTCCCCGCTATGTGCAGAGCCCTACTTGGGGCTGAACTCAAGACCCTGAGATCATGACCTGAGCCAAAACCAAAAGTTGGATGCTTAATCAACTGAGCCATCCAGGTCCCTCTGTTTCTTTGGGTTTTTGTTTGTATGTTCCTTTTTGCAATAGATCTCGCCTTTTATTTTATTTTCTTGCCTTATTGTCCTGGCTAGAACTTCCAATATTATGTAAAATAGAAGTGGCAAGAATGGTCACCCTTGTCTTCTTCCTGATTTTAGGAAGGAAAGCATTGTCTTTCACCATTAAGTATAATGCTAGCTGTGGGGTTTTCACAGATGCTTTCTATCATATTGAGGAAATTCCCTTCTATTCCTCATTTTGTTAAATGTTTTTAATCATGAAGAGGTGTTGAATTTTGTCAAATGCCTTCTCTGTTTCTACTGAGATGATCATGTGGTTTTTGTTCTTTATTTTATTGATATGGTGTTATTACATGAATTGATTTTTGAATGTTAAACCAATCTTGCATTCCTGGGAAAAATTATACTTGGTCTTGGTGTGAATTCCTTCCACATGTTGCTGGATTCCTTTCCCTAGTGTTTTGTTGAGGATTTTTGTATCTATATTCATAAGAAATCTTGATGTTTGTTTTTAATTTAGTTATTATTTTTTTTTAGAGAGGGAGAGAGAAAGAGAGAGAGGGCAGGGGGAGGGGCAGAGAGAACCTTAAACAGGCCCCAGGCCTAGCACTGAGCCCAATGAGGGCCTCAATCCCACAACCCTGAGATCATGACCTGAGCTGAAATTGAGTCAGTCGCTCAACCAATTGAGCCAGCTAGGTGACTGCTTTTAACGTGGGATTTATGGTGTTTCCAAAAGTATGCTGCTGCTTCTGCCATCTTTTGAGAATTTTCCATGTGTGCTGTCAAAAAAATTCATTATTAAAAAGATTTGTTGGGGGAAGACCCCCAAAGGCATTGTTTTATCTGAGCTCCCCTCTTTTTTTTTTTAATTCAACAAACATTTATTGAGCACTTATGGATCCATTATCAAAAAAACAAATTAGTAACTATGAGCCTTTCGGTCTCAAAATCTCAATTAACAATACGAGTAGTTAAATCTTTTTGTGTGTTTAGGTCTAACTCAATCTCGTATACACCAGATTGTTTGACAATGTTAAGACCTGACGATTTTATTTTCATTCAGTCTTAGTTTAGTTTGTTTTGTGAAACAATAATACAGCTTTGGAAAAATCGATGGCTCTGGCGCGATCTATCAGCACTTTTGCTACAAATGTCAGCTTCTATTTGCATGGTTCTTTACTGTTCTTGTTGTTCCTGCTTGTTAAGCAAATTCTGTCAAAAAATAAGTTAAGTAATAACTAGGAAATAACAGGGCCCAAACTTGTTCATGTACTAAAAGTGCTCAGAGAATATCAAGTTAAGTATCAGCTATTGATTTCAAAGAAATTCTGCTGGGCAAAACTTTTCTTTGTAAGGACTATTTAGCTCTGAAGTAGGTTTCATAAAATAATGTCAAGGGAAAACTACTTTTTAGTTTATCTTTTATGTAGATACAATACATCTAGTGTTTGCTTGGATAATATAGTTTGATAAACATTTTTACACAGGGAATACAAATTTTAAAAAAGTGAAGTTTTCCTGGTATGTGGGGCATTTCCAAAATCTGTGTTTCTGCACGTGGGGAACACTTGTACCTCTAGTTTCTGACAAAGTCCATCAACATGTTTTGGGTATGTTAACTCCTATTTGCGTGGTAAAATTTGGGTGGTAAAATTTCCACCCTATATACTAGGAATAGGGGCAGTGCTTGAAACTCTACTTTTGGGAGGATTTCTCATTTTCTGTAAATTTCAACAAAATGGAATGACTTAGGAAAAAAAAAAACTATACTCATTCTAGCTCCTCCGTGTTCCTTCTTTTAAAATAGTAGTTTTCATTAACTTTTTGGTGTCTTTTGCAAAAGTAATACAGACTCAGTGTAGAATATGGGGAAAATTCAGTAAAGCAACAACATTTTGGTCCCATCCTTTAGAAACAGCGATGGACAGTTTTCTTTAAACGGTAATGGAGTGTCGTAAATTGTTTTGTAAACTGCAATTTTTCCTCGTCTACCATTTTCGCCTTTTTTACAGCGACTACTGTCCGCCCTTTCTCCACAGGTGGTCGCAGCCCCTGCAGGGCGATCTAATTTCTCCCCCGACCTCCCCCGGCAGCCGGACGCCGCTTGCCCACGGGGCAGCTGCGGAACCAGCGCAGGCCGGGTACCTTTAAGAGGCAGGCGCGGGGGGGGGGGGGGGGGGCCCCCCCCCTTTGTCGCGGCTTGGGGGCCCCGGGGGGGCCCGGGCAGCAGAGGCGGTGGCCCGGCTCCCGGAGGCTGTCGCGGAGCCCCCCCGGGGTCCCCGGGAAGGGGCGCGGGCTGACCGATGTGCGTGAGGAGATGCCTGGTGGGCCTCATCTTTTGTACCTGCTACCTGGCTTCTTACCTCACGAACAAGGTGAGGGGGGCGGGCGCGGGGCGGCGATGATTGCACGTGGTAGATCTGGGTCCCCAAATCGTCCGTGGAACAGATGCAGCCTCCAGCTGTTTATCTGATTTTTCCTGATGGTGGTGGAGAGGAAGCTGACTCTGTAGGGAATCCTTATTTAGAAATAGAATTCGTGGAATTATTTTTGAAAATAAAATATCAAGTTAATTTTATTTAAAGTAATGTCATGAAACCCTTTTTATGAAGAGGCAGAAAAGCAATGGTACCTACCATGTTTTTTATTTTGTTGGGAGGGGGAAACTGGCCTTGGATTTGGTACCATGCAGGGAAATGTTGGACCTCTGTGAGCTAGAGTGGGGCATCACCTCCTGTCCTGGACATTGGGCTGGAAACCAAGACAAAGTGGTGATGCCAGGCCCCGGACCACCTTCTCCTACTGTGGTGGGGGTCTCCATTGCCCCCCCCAAAACACCAAACCCCTCTTGCTCTCTGGAAAAAAAAAAAAAACTATTAACAAATAGCATTTCCCTATACCTTCTCTCTTAATGTGAGTGGCTGTCTTAAGTGTGCTCAGAGGATGTGCCAGAACCCTCCTTCCCCCTGTCCAGTTGATTTTTAGTTCTGGTGATGGGCCTTTAAAGATCCATACATAGTACCTTCCTGGTAGGGGTGGGAGAGGTAGTCCTTCACAGTGGGACTCTGGTAGGGACTTTGTAACTCTTAGACTATGCTACTGTTTCAACCAGGACAGTTATGCTTCCTTTTGGCCTCCAGACCAGGTTGGCTTGGACCAAGTCAGGGCCAAATGAGAAAAGAGGTGTGTAGTGGCCCTCCCCAGCATATAGCCTCTCCAAATGAATTTTTTTTTCTTTCTTTCTTTTAAAAGATTTTATTTATTTAATTGACAGAGAGCAACACAGTGAGAGAGGGAACACAAGCAGGGGGAGTGGGAGAGGGAGAAGCAGGCTTCCCACTGAGCAGGGAGCCTGATGTGGGGCTCGATGTGGGGCTTGATCCCAGGAGCCGAAGGCAGACACTTAATGACTGAGCCACCCAGGCGCTCCTGAATTTTCTTTTGAATTAGTGAAGATTATTTTGTGTTTACAGGACAGGTTCCTCTCTTCCAGTTTTTAGAAGACTCTGTGCTAATTTTTTAAAATTTTCTTATTTCTCAGTATAGTTTCTTCCTCAGACTATTTCCCTCTGTTTGTAAAAAGAAAATTCATTCAAAAAAATCTTGTCTGTTTTAGTCTTATTGCTTCTTGTGTTAAAAAATGGTTGATTTTAGTTTGAACAGCAAGTGTTGATCTAGTCTGAGTGGCATGTTGCTCCAGCGTGTGGGCGGTTCTGGCAGTAACCAGGCTTAGGGCCCAAGGCAGCCACTTGTCCTTCTTCCCCTTACAGCTATTAAGCCTTCAGCCTGGAGACAAACTCCACGTCTATTCTCCTTTCAAAGGCTCCCAGATTGCTCCCTTTTTTTCTTTGAGAAGCACTCGCTGCTGTTCCACCAAAAAGCAACCCTTTTCAGTGACATGAAGAATTGCTGAAAGAATAAGTATTAGGTCTTAGATTCCATTTGTCAGAGATTTCTTTTTTCAGTCTTCTTAAGCCAGGTGAAGTAAGAGCTTTAGCACTTTCTGTCTCCCTCCCAGTTTCTACGACAAAGCTCAGCACACAATAAACTAAATAAATATTTACTATCTTCATGAAGGTTATTAAGGGTGATGTAGCACATGGCCCAGATGCTCACTTTATCCTTTCTCTATCTCTGTTTTAGAATGAAAATATCAGGGGGTGCCTGGGTGGCTCAGTTGGTTAGGCGACTGCCTTCGGCTCAGGTCATGATCCTGGAGTCCCAGGATCAAGTCCCTCATCAGGCTCCCTGCTCAGCGGGGAGTCTGCTTCTCCCTCTGACCTTCTTCACTCTCATGCTCTCTCTCTACCATTCTCTCTCTCTCTCAATAAATAAAGTCTTAAAAAAATGTAGAATGAAAATATCAGGGAAAAGTGGGGAGGAGCATATGGAATTATGTGAATAAATTGATTTCAGAGAAGAAGAAGAAGGTCCATCTCTTAGTGAATACAGATCAGAGCACAGCTGTTAGCTGTAATTGTGACATTTAGGAGCTCATACGAGGAGGCCTATGTGTAGGTTAACCCATGGGAAAAAATAAGTATGTAACTTTGCCCACTACCAGTCCACTCTGTTTTCTAGATCATGTGAAGAATCAGTAGAGTCCTTACCTACAGCCTTTAATGGCTGTTAAACTTTACAAAAATTCTTAGTGTTCAATAGTAGGAAAAATAGAAAAAGATACCCAGAAAGACAAAACACAGTCCGCTCATTCCTGAAGTGTTGTAAAAGACATAATAGAAATACATGCTGACCTTAGTCGGGTTGGTTTTACAAAATCCTTAAAATGCTAAAGCACAGAAAAAATTATGATGCCTCAGCAGAATTAGTTAAAAAAAAAAAAAGATCTTCAGAATGCAAAAGCCAAATTCCCCCAAATTGAAGAAAAATGAAGGAAATAAAGACTAGGGTGCAGTTCTTGCTTAAAGAGAAACAAAGAAGGGGGGGTTGGATTTTTAGGTAAATTGGACAGTAGATAAGGTGGATACCCTGAGAAAAGAGACTTAAGTCCAGTTTTCAACAGTTGCTGTGGTTCCAACATGGCACTTCTGGAGTCTGGAAAGAGGCTTGAGTGGTTGGACCTCCACAGCATCACACCCAGCTGCTGTGCATCCCAATTTGCTGATGATCCCAGTTCCATTTCCTGACTGATGGGTGGTCAGGCTTCTGACAATACTGGGGAAAAATAGACCTGCTCTTTTTAGTATGACTTGGAAGGTCTTTCTTTTTTTAAATTTTTGCCCAATGTGTGATTTTTGGGGGGAAGGATAAAAGCCTTTTTGAAACTTGAGTGTATTTATGTTTCTTCAGTAGGGATTTCTTTGATTATACAATCAATTTGAAAATGTCCACTAATCTGGTATTTGTTTTTCAGTATGTCCTGTCTGTCTTGAAATTTACGTACCCTACATTATTCCAAGGGTGAGTATCTTTTATGCTCTTTATACACATTTGTGGGACGTGTCCAACCAGCATCATTAGCTGTTCTTTAAAATATTTTTGGGGTGCCTGGGTGGCTCAGTAGGTTAAGCTTCTGACTCTTGATTTCTGCTCAGGTCATGATCTCAGGATCGTGAGATCGAGCCCCACTTTGGGCTCTGAGTTCAGCAGGGAGTCTGCTTGAGATTCTTTCTCTCCCTCTCCCCCTCCCCTGCTCGAGTGCTTTCTCTCTCTCTCAAAAAAATAAATCTTTAAAAAAATAAAATAGGGCACCTGGGTGGCTCAGTTGGTTAAGCGATTGCCTTCGGCTCAGGTCATGATCCTGGAGTCCTGGGATCGAGTCCTGTGTCGGGCTCCCTGCTCAGCGGGGAGTCTGCTTCTCCCTCTGACCCTCTTCCCTCTCATGCTCTCTATCTCTCATTCTCTCTCTCTCTCAAATAAATAAATAAAATCTTTAAAAAAAATATTTTAATGACTACATGGATTTTTTTTTTATGAAATAGACATACGGTAATTTATTTAGCCATTCTATTAATGGGCATTTAAATTGTGTCCCATTTGGGGGCATAAAAACAACATTATCAGACATTTTTTATATTCAAATCTGTCAAATTTCTAGCTATTTCTTTGGGATAGGTTCCTATGTAAGAAGGAATTTCAGTTAGGGGCGCCTGGGTGGTTCAGATGGTTAAGCGTCTGCCTTCAGCTCGGGTCATGATCCCAGGGTCCTGGGATCGAGCCCCACATTGGGTTCCCTGCTCAGCGGGGAGCCTGCTTCTCCCTCTCCCTCTCCCTCTGCCTCTCTCCCTGCTCATGCTCTCTCTCTCTCTCTCTCTGTATCTCTGTGTCTCAAATGAATAAATAAAACCTTAAAAAAAAAAAAGGAAATTTCAGTTAAAGAATATGAACTTCTTTAGTATTCCTCCTGAATATTAAATTCTTTTTCAGAAATGTGTTACCAATTTACATCGTCTGTGACAAAGTTTCTATAATACTGTACTCAAACCATGACTGTTTTTCTCCTCTCTCTGATGCATGAGCCCCAAATGGTATCACATTGTTTTGTCTTACATTTTTCATGTAGCTGGACTGTTTTCTTATGTGTGTTACCCACTTGTATTGCTTTTATCAGTGAATTGTCTACTTGTGCCTTTTCCCTTTTATTTTTACTGGGGTTTTAGTATCTTTCTTATTAATTTAATGACTTCTTCATATTTTAAGAATGCCAACCACTCGTCCATCATGTTTATTAGAAATTTCTTTTTTTGCAGTTTGTCCTTTGCCTTTTCATTTTGTTCATACTTATTTTGATTATTTAAATATATTTTTAAGTGAGGTCATAGAGAATTTATTGCTCAGACGTAAGACAGAAGCAGCAGAAAGAACTACAGATAAACCTAGCATGTGGTCTTATGATTGAAGAATGCCATTCTTAGAAAAAAGTGATGAGGAAAAAGGGGTGTGGAGCTAGGTCATAGTGGAGATGTTGTAGAAGCAGCACAGAGTGCTCTGGCACTCACATTTCCCTTCCTCACCTTTTCCCCACTCAAGCTTTTTATTTAATTAATTAATTTAGTTAGTTAAGATTTATTTATTTTAGAGAGAGAAAGAAAGTGTGAGCGTGGGAGAGAGGAACAGAGGAAGGAAAGAGAAACTCAAGCTGACTCTGTGCTGAGTGCGGAGCCTCACACAGGGCTCAATTTCACAATCCCAAGATCACGACCTGAGCTGAAACCAAGAATCGGATGCTTAACTGACTGCACCACTCAAGCTTTTAAAAAAATAGTCGTTTTAGGGTGCTTGGGTGGCTCAGTCGGTTGGGTGTCTACCTTTGGCTCAGGTCATGATCTCAGGGTCCTGGGATCCAGGCCTGCATCAGGCCCCCTGCTCAGTGGGGAGCCTGCTTCTCCCTCTTCCTCTGCCCCTCCCCCTGCTTATGCTTGCTCTCTCTCTCTGTCTCTCTCCCATATAAATACATAAAATCTTTAAAAAATTGTTTTATTTTTATAGTGGACAAATATTGATGATTGTGATTGGTACCATTGCTTTAATGTTTATTCTTCTCCATCACAAGCTCATGTAGATATTTACCTACATTTCATTAAAGCTTTATTCAATTTTTAATCATTGTCCATTTATTTAAATGTGTAATGTGAGGAAATCATCCCTCCCCTAGTTTCATTTATACTACCCCTATGTTTTTTTTAAAAAGGTTTATTTATTTATTTGAGAGAGAGAGAAAGAGAGCATAAGTGTGAGGAGCAGAGGGTGAGGGAGAGAGAATCTCAAGCAGACTCCATGCTGAGCATGGAGCCCAATGCAGGGCTCGAATTCACAATGCCAAGATCAAGAGTTGCATGCTCCACTGACTGAGCCTCATATACTAGTTCTGTATTTTATATTTTATTTTATAACCCTTCCTTTTGCCTTTGGGTTGTTAATATCATATATAAAGTTATTTTTCTAGGGTCTATTTTTGAGTATTTGTCAATTTTTATGAAAAGGGGCTAGTGCTAAATTGTTTTAATTATTATAGCATTTAAATATGTCATAGAGCAGGACATCCCTCATTTTTTTTTTTTTTTAAGATTATACAAATGCAAACAAAAGAGCAGGGGTCATGATCTTTGCCAGACAAGGTTCAGGACAAAAAGGACTAAACATATGAAGAAAGATGTGTTATGATGCTAAATAAAGCACGCAGTTCAAAATGAAAAGACACGTTATAAATGTTATGAAAAGACACGCTGGAGTGTGCCGTTCAAAATGAAAATAAAATAGTGATGAATATCTACCAGCCAGACAGTGGGGCAGAAATATCAGGAATACATAGAAACATACAATTAATGGGAGACAAATTTGCCACTATTTTTCCATGACATTCAGTTGGACAAACAAAAAGCTAGTGTCCATGTGTGTGTATGTGTGTATGTATATATATATATAAGCTAAATAATGCAATTAATAAGTAAATATCAAACCCTGCATCTTTAAAATAGAAACTATACCCTCTTCTCAAATGCCCAGGGAATAATCACTATGAATAAAACAAGCAATAATTTGACCAAAGTAACAATTATACAATCTTAGTGCCCTAAAGCTAGATTTTATTTTATTTTTTTTTTAATTTTATTTATTTATTTGAGAGAGAGAGTGAGCGAGAGCGAGAGAGCGGTGCAGAGGGGCAGAGGGAGAGGGGGAGGCAGACTCCTCGCTAAGCAGGGAACCCAAGGTAGGATCCAGTCCCAGGACCCCTAGATCATGACCTGAGTCGAAGGTAGCTGCTTAACTGACTGAGCCACCCAGGTGCCCCTAAAGCTAGAATTTAATGTCAAAACCAAAAATCTCTATTTACAAATAATTCTTCACTCATAAGAAAAATATAATTAAAATCAAATTGAAAAATCCTCTTTTGCCTATAAGATTTGCAAAATAAAATTTCAGAATTTGGTAACACAACATTGGTGAAGATGTAGAAAACAGGTGCTCTCCTACATGGATCTGGGGTGGCAAATTGGTACAGTATCTGTGAGTGACACTTTGGCAATATGTAACACTATTCCAACAGTGTGAATCCTTCAATTCTGCAATTCCACTTCCAGGGATTTATTTGAGAGGTTTACTTGCAATTTGTAAATGAAATATGTACGAAGACATACATGGGAAACATTGCAGCTCTGTGACAGCAAGCATTTTTAAAGAACCTGATTTTCATCTCTGCAGAACCCATTAAATAAATTATATTATAGCCTTAATGGAATATTATTCAAATGACAAAAAATAATGACACTCTCAGGTATTGAAATGAAAAGGTTTTCAAAATGCATTTAATGGGGGACAAAAGCAAGTCTGTAACGGTGGTACAATACCATCGTGTAGAAATGTGTGTGTATGTTTTCCTTATTTAAAAAAAGGTGAAGGGGCACCTGGGTGGCTCAGTCGGTTAAGCGACTAACTTTGGCTCAGGTCATGATCCCAGGGTCCTGGGATCGAGCCCCACATCGGGCTCCCTGCTCAGCGGGGAACCCGCTTCTCCATCTGCCTGCTGCTCCCCCTGCTTGTGCTCTCTCTCTCTGACAAATAAATAAATAAAATCTTAAAAAAATTAGTAAATAAAAATAAAAAAAGGTGAAGAAACTACCAAGAGTGGTTACCTATAGAAAGGTGAAACCTGTGCAGAGAGTGAACAGGCAAGGGAAGAAGACTTTAAAGAAAGCACTTCCTTTTTTATACTTTTGGATTTTTGTTCTTTTTTTTTTTTAATTTTTTAAATTTTTAAATTTTTATTTTTTTTAAAAGATTTTATTTATTTACTTGACAGAGAGAAACACAGCGAGAGAGGGAACACAAGCAGGGGGAGTGGGAGAGGGAGAAGCAGGCCTCCTGCCGAGCAAGGAGCCCGATGCGGGGCTCGATCCCAGGACTCTGGGATCATGACCCGAGCCGAAGGCAGATGCCCAACGACTGAGCCACCCAGGTGCCCCTGGACTTTTGTTCTTTATAGTATCACCAGTATATTATTTCAGGTGAAATTCAGAATGACCTTGTCAAGTTTCTCCCTAATATTTCATAACAAAACTTAAAAAAATACGGTAGTCCCCCCTTATCCATGGTTTTGCTTTCTGCGGTTTTGGTCACCCACGGTCAGTTCTCTCTGGAAATAGATGATTCTCCCCGACTTGTCAGAGGTGAGTGGTAGCCTACGGGTATGTCAGAACGCCTACCTCATTCACCTCACTTCACCTCACCATCTAGGCATTTATCATCTTGCAGCATCGTGAGAAGACGGGTGAGTACAGAGATTTTGAGAGAGAAACCACATTCACATAACTTTTATTACAGCATATTGTTATAATTGTTCTGTTTTATTATTGGTTATTGTTGTTAATCTCCTACGGGGCCTAATTTATAAATTCAACTTTATCATAGGTATGTACGTGTAGGAAAAAACATAACATGTATTTGGTTCGGCACTGTCTGCAGTTTCAGGCATCCCCGAGGGTCTTAAAATGATCTCCCACAAGTAACGGGGGGGAACCACTGTATTTCCGTCAATAAAGCTGGGATGTTGTTTTCTCTTTTAGTGGATAGGAATCATTTTCTGGTCCTGACTGTCTTGCAGTTCTCTCCAGGTAGAGAGACTTAGGGAACTTAGGTGGGAAAGGAGGATCTCTACATCTGGATTGCCTTTTCCCCTGTGTATCTGTGGATGGGTCAGACTGAATGTCCCTCCTCCAACAGATTGTAAGGTCTACAAATGGAAGAATTTGTTTTTAATCTCTTTTATCACTGGAGTATCTATCCCCAGTGCTTAGAACAATGCCTGGCACGTAGGAGGTACACAGTTGGGCAGAGTAGCCCATTCTACAAATCCTTATTGGGTGCATACTGTGTGCCAGGCACTGTTTTAGACATAAGAGGTACATCAGTGGAGAAAGCAAAGATCCCTGCCCTCATACAGCTTTCTTTTCTCTCCTGCCTGTCCCTTAAATTTACTTGCAGTGAATGGTACCTTCCATCCAGTTGCCCAACTGAAGAACTCCCAGAAACGTGGGAGTTGATTCCTTTGTCTCCTTCATCCCTGACATCTAGTTAACCACCAGGACCTCCTAAACATCTTCAGAATCTGTCCACCTTCTTCATCCAAATTGCCCCTTCACAAGCCACTGTCATCTCTCAAATTACTATTGACATTTTGAGCTGGGTAACCCTTTGTTATGGGGCTGTCCTGCACATTGTAAGATATTTGGCAGCATCCCTGGCTACGACTCATTAGATGCCAGGTGCCACCCTCCCTTCCCCCACCTCCAGTTATAACAACCAAAAATGTCTCTAGGTACTGCCAGATGTCACCTGGGGGGGAACATACAGTTGAGTGCCACTGGTCTAGATTACGCTGTTGGAGGGCATGACCCATATCTGTCTGCTCTGCTTGGCCGGGTTAGAGAAGGTTTCACAAAGGAGGCGTAAAAGCTGGATCTTACAGGATGAGCAGGTGTTCGCCAACACACAAGGAGATGGGAGAATGTGATGGGTCAAGAGGGTAGCACATGGAAACTCTTAAAAGTATGGGATGACCTGGCACATTCCCGAGGCTGTGGGAGGTTCAGTATGGCTGGAATGTCGCTGCCCGTGGCAGATGGACGGGAGCTGGTCCTAGAAAGGGGAGACTGCAAGTATGGGAAGGCTTGTGTGTCACATGCAAGTGACTTTATCCTGGAGGCCAGCAGTTCTCCACTGTTATGTCACAACCCACAAGTGTGTTGTAATCACTTCCGAGGTGAGGTGTCTCAAGTCATAAAATAAGGTTTTGAAGTCTATGAATGGCTCACCTAAAATAAAGCAATTAGAGTAAAACGAGGGGAAGTCATGCCTGTAGTAGCCTCTCACTCATTTTGAACTTTGCTGTGCTTTGTGCCGTGGGAGGGGCAGGGGTGCGTAATTCACAGCCTGGTCCCCCCTGTGCTCTGCATGCTGAGGAAGTGCGTCTCACATGAGCTACGTGGCCCCCAGTGTGTCATGGCAGAAGAGATTGGGAGTTGCTGCCGGCCACCTGGGAAGAATCAACCGTTTTTAAAATGAGCGAGTGGCAAAGTTAAGTTTGCATTCTGGAACAAGCCCTGTGGCTGCAGGTAGAGAATGGATGTTGTGGGACCATCCTGGGGATAGGGACACCAGTTAGGGGACTGATGCTCGGTTCAGGTGTGCCACAAGGGGAGTCTGCATTAGGCAGAGGCAGAAGGTATGGGAAAGAGAAGGTATGGCACTTGAGAACTGTTCGGGGATTATGTGCAATAGGATTTTGTGAGCAGATGAGGGAGGTGACCGAGGAGGAAGAGTTAGGATGACATCTGGGCTCTGGTTTGGCTGGTTAGGGATGGGGCAGTAGATCAGGATGGGGAAGGGAAGCTCAAGGTAATGTTTTAGGCAAATTATCATTGGGAGCTTGTAGGGTATCAAGGTGGCAGTATCCAGGTGAGCACAGGGATTTGAGAATCATCAAGTGCAGGGCAATGGGAGAAGTGGGGACTGTGGGTGAGATTGTTCGGGGAAAAGTCTAGCATAAGAAGAGAAGAATATCAGTGTCAGCACTGAACAGTACAGCTGGACTCGAGAATAGTACAGGTTGAGAAGGAGGGGTCTGGGCACTGGGATACCAGTTAGGAGAGAATGGGAGAAAAGAGATAGGAAGGCTTGGGTGTGTATATTTACGTCAGCCATTGGGTCTGCTGGGGCTGGATGGTGTTTGAGACCATAGCACTCTCTCAAATTCACATTGGCATGTATTCTTTTCAGGTGGCAGACATTGATTGGTGGACTTTTGCTTCATGTGTCATGGAAACTGGGCTGGGCCGAGATCCACGGCAGTTCAAGGTAGAACAACCTCTTCTTGCTTGATTCATGATTCATACCCTGCATTCTTTTCACATTATTTAACTTCTGGTGTTACTTTGGGAAACATGGATGTTTATTTGAGTTGCTTCATCTCTTAGTTCCCTTCTTTTTTTTTTTTTTTTTTCTTCTTAGTTCCCTTCTAACCTTGAGATTTTAGTGCTTTTATAATCATATAGAACTCAAGGAGTGTTTTCCTGGTTACTAGATACTAAATAGATTACTAAAATAATATTAAGATTAATCAAGATACATAATTTATAACACTGTATTAATTGGGCTTTGTTATAGATCATGGGAGCATGGTGAATGAGTTTCTAAATCAACTTAAATGTTTTTGGTAAATTTTTAATTTTGAAATTATTTGCTACTTTACAGAACAGTTAGAAATAGTACAAAGAACTTCCATACCCTTTACTCATGTTCCTCAATTATTACTTTACCACGCCTCTCCCACCATTTGCTCTTGAGATATATTTTTTTTTCCTGAACTATATCAGAGTAAGTTGTAGATTTGAGAGTAAAATGCCTCTTTGCTTTACTTCTAAATCCTTTAGTTTGTACTTTTTTTTTTTTTCCAAGATTTACTTATTTACTTGAGAGGGCACGGGAGTGCACAAGTGGGAGTGGCAGAGGGAGAGGGAGAATCTCAAGCAGACTCCATGCTAAGCACAAAGCCCAATGTGGGGCTCAATCTCACGACCCTGAGATCACCACCTGAGCCAAAACCAGGAGTTGATTGCCCAATCAACTGCGCCCCCAGGTGCCCCTTTCATGTGTATTTTCTAAGAGCAAGGACACTTTCTTTTCTTTTTTTTTAAAGATTTTATTTATTTATTTGACAGAGAGAGACAGCGAGAGAGGGAACACAAGCAGGGGGAGTGGGAGAGGGAGAAGCAGGCCTCCCGCGGAGCAGGGAGCCCGATGCGGGGCTCGATCCCAAGACCCTGAGATCATGACCTGAGCCAAAGGCAGTCGCTTAACCAACTGAGCCACCCAGGCGCCCCTCTTTTCTTTTCTTTTAATATTTTATTTGCTTATTTGACACACAGAGATTGAGCATAGGCAGGTAGACTAGCCGGCAGTGGGAGAGGGAGAAGCAGACTCCTGCTGAGCAAGGAGCCTGAAGTGGGGCTCGATTCCAGGACCCCAGGATCATGACCTGAGCCGAAGGCAGTCACTTAACCAACTGAGCTATGCAGGCGCCCCGCAAGGACATTTTCTTACATGACTACAGCTCAGTAATCAAAATCAGGAAATTAATATTGATGTAATACTATTATCTCATCTCCAGACTAAATTCATATTTTTCCAGTTTTCTCAATAATATCCCTTATTACGTTCCTCCCCCTCCGATTCTGATCCAGGGTCCATTTCACATCACACATTAAATTAGTTGTTACGAATCTATTAAGACAACTTGTTGACTAGATTTGAAAGAAATCTCAAAGACCGTGACATTTTTCAGCCAAAATTATAATCTGAATTGGCTATCCACTCCTGCCTCACCTAGATAAACTGTCATGATTCTTCCAGAACATCATGCCAGTGATGCACAAAATGAAAAGCAAATGAAGTCAAGCTTTATATGGACAAGACAAACAGCCCTATTGAATGATCAGGTCATTGACCTTCACCTGTATAATAACCTCACCTTCATAAAATAAAGATGCTTTTGGGATTTTATATGTGATATTAAGCAGAGGGTTTACTTTATACTCCACTGTTACGGTGGATGGTTCAGTGAGAACTGGGTCTTCATTTAAACAAATAGTGCCCTGAATCCACAAGGCCTGTGATAGTTCTAATATTTAGTTAAATAATGAAGCATCCTAATTCCAAATGGTTCAGTTTATTCCTTCACAGAGGCAAGAGACTGGACTAGAGTGAAGGAACTGTCAGATTGGGGACTGGGGTCCACTGGTGCTCATCAACATGGGTCCTCCACTCTGTTTACAGTGTTCCTGATAATATCTTATAATTTCTGATGTGAATTATTTACTTCATAATAGTCTTTTAAATAATACAAATGTACTGATCCAAAGGGGCACCTGTACCCCATTGTTTATAGCAGCAATGTCCACAACAGCAAAACTGTGGAAAGAACCCAGATGTCCATCAACAGATGAATGGATAAAGAAGATGTGGGATATATATTCAATGGAATACTACTCAGCCATCAAAAAAAAACAAACAAAACGAAATCTTGCCATTTACAACAACGTGGATGGAACTACAGGGTATTATGCTAAGTGAAGTAAGTCAATCAGAGAAAGACAGTTATATGATTTCACTCATATGTGGATTTAAGAAACAAAACAGAGGGTCATAGGGGAAGGGAGGGAAAAATAAAATCACAGAGGGAGACAAACCATAAGAGACTCTTAATCATAGGAAACAAACTGAGGGTTGCTGGAGAGGATGGAACTGGGGGGAGGGGGTAACTGGGTGATGGACATTAAGGAGGGCACATGATGTAATGAGCGTTGGGTGTTATATGACTGATGAATCGCTGAACTCTCTCTCTGAAACTAATAATACTCTCTCTAAAAAAAACAAAAAATAAAAAACCCCCAAACCCCAAAACATTACTTTAGCCATGTTTCATTAAAAGCTATGCTATTGGTCATACTTAAAAAAATTTCTGGGGCGCCTGGGTGGCTCGGTTGAGCGACTGCCTTCGGCTCAGGTCATGATCCTGGAGTCCTAGGATCGAGTCCTGCATTGGACTCCCCGCTCAGCGGGGAGTCTGCTTCTCCCTCTGACCCTCTTCCCTCTCGTGCTTTCTATCTCTCATTCTCTCTCTCTCAAATAAATAAATAAATAAAATCTTTTTTAAAAAGTTCTGTGGAAAAATATACGTAATATAAAATTTACCATTTTTAAACAGGTTTTAAGTGTACAATTCAGTGGCATTAAGTGCATTCGCAATGTTGTGCAACCATCACCACCATCCATTTGCAGAACTTTTCCATCATCCCAAACAGAAATTCCATAACAAACAGTAACTCTCCATCCTGCCTTCCCTCCATCCAGCCCCCGGTAACCACTGTTCTACTTTTCATTTCTATGAATTTGCCTACTCTAGGTAACTCACTTAAGTGGAAGCATACAGTATTTGTCCTTTTGTGACTTGTTATTTCACTTAACATAACATCCTCAGAATTGTCGCAAGTGTTAAGATCTCCTTCCTCTTTAAGGCTGAATAATATTCCATTTTATGTTTGTTTATCCGTCCATCCATTGACAGAATTCTTTTTCTGCCTTTTGGGGAGGGGAAGGAGGAATGACTCATAGAACTGGGTAAAGTAAAAAATTCTCAGGTTCTTTCCTTGGAGGAAGTGATCCAGTAGATTTAGTAGTTTTCTCCTAAAAATGGAAACAGCAGCAGGCAGACAGCTTGGAGTCCCTGAGGTCATTGTGGAGTGGGGATTGCACCAGTGGGGCTGGTGGGTGGTCTCCAAATCGGTATTTAATAACATATGCCAGGAGAGCTCATTTAGCCTCCTGATAGCCTGGAGCACAGCAGAATCCCAGATTCCCTCTTAAAACCGGTCACAGATGGTGTGCCTGGGTGGCTCAGTCGTTAAGTGTCTGCCTTTGGCTCGGGTCTTGATCCCAGGGTCCTGGGATGGAGCCCCACATTGGTCTCCCTTCTCCGCGGGAAGTCTGCTTCTCCCTCTCCCACTCCCCCTGCTTGTGTTCTTGCTCTCGCTTTCTGTGAAATAAATAAATAAAATCTTTAAAAAACGAAACAAAACAAAAAACCAGGTCACAGAACTTGGCACCACATTTCCTACTCCGCAGAGAGGCCATATCTGCTGTGTTGGTCAGTCACGGCCATGTCATGTGTTAACTCCATTGAGTGACCCGATGGGATCAATCTTCTCCAGGAGTTTTACTCAGCAACCAGTTATCACCAAGGGTTGGGCAATGCCCTGAGGCCTTCTGTCTCGGGGAAGAGAGCCCTGGTTTTTAGGCACTGGTTTGTCCTTATATGGCAGCTACTGCCATGGCCAAACCATTGCCGAACGTCGATGTGATTTTTCTAGTAGATGTTGAAGTCCTGTGCTGTAGGCTATTTGTTTCCAGAATGTGATCCAGAGCACTGTGACCGGACATCTGCCAGAAAGACCATGGCGTTCTTTACTAGATTCTCGAACCATTGCTTATAGAATCAGGTGTGATTTCATTGGAGACTTTACACACCATCCTCTGGTTCCTTTATTACCAGACTACATGTTTAAATAAAGACATCTGGAAGGTACTTTTTAATGTACTTACTACTTTTTGTTCCCTATACCTAAGACAGCAAATTTTTAACTCCCAAGTTTTCAAGTATGAGAAGTTCTAAGTTAATAATTCTGTGTCACGATACCTTTGTGACTAAGGTTTCTTTTTTTTTTTAAGATTTTATTTATTTATTTGAGAGAGAGAGAGAGCAAGCATGAATGGGGGGCAGAGGGAGAGGGAGAAGCAGGTTCCCTGCTGAGCAAGGAGCCCAACATGGGGCTTGATCCCAGGACCCTGGGATCGTGACCTGAGCCGATGGCAGATGCTTAACCATCTGAGCCATCCAGGTGCCTCGTGACTAGAGGTTTCTAACAGATGAAGAAGGAAGCCCCACTCCTAAATTTTCCATTGAGGATCTTTGCTGGAGAACCATAAACAATTTCTTTGATAAAATCTCCAAATTAACTCAGCCCTGTCCCTAAAGAAATGAACAGTGAGCAAATCAATTAGGATAGTTCTTTTTATGATTGATTATTTGTTTTTAAGTGAGATAGTTCGTCTTCATCAAAGCTACTGGTGTTTGGAATTTCTCAAATATGTTTTAATGTGTTGGCATTTCATTTTGAGTGACTCTTATAGTTTGACAAACAGTTACCTTTGCCCACTGAGGAAAGTTAACCCTCAAATTCTTGTGTTTTTGATATTTTTTCCTGTTATTGTTTTTTTTTTCTCCAGAGGATTGCTTTATG